CTACCCTCCCCCCCTCCTACAGGAAATCCACGTTGTCTGGGAACACCGCAGTCTGGGAAACCACCTGCCGGGTCACGCGTGGCCTCCTAGGGCTCTGGAAGGGAAGAGGGAAGGGGAGGAAGGAAAGGAGGGAAGGGGGAGGAAGGGAAGGAGGGAGGGAGGAGCTGGGAAGGGGGTTAGGGAAGAGAAAGAAAGGGGGAAGGAAGGAAAGAGAAAGGGGGAGGCTAGGGAAATGGGCAATGAAGGGGAGAGAAAGGGAAGGAGGGAAGAAGGGAGGCTGGGGAGGGAGGGCGGTAAGGAAGGGAATGAATGGGGAGGGGTTAAGTAAGGTGGGAGGCTGGGGAGGTGGGTAAGGAAGGAAGAGGAAGGGAAAGAAGGGGGGAGGCTAGGGAGATGGGTAAGAAGTGAAGGCTGGGGAGGGGGCAAGGAAAGAGAGAGGAAGGGAAAAGGGCAGACAAGGATAGTTCAATGAAGAGCAGTGGAAGGGAAAAGAGAGGGGGGGGGGGCTAGGGAGATAGGTAAGGAAGCGAAGAGGAAGGGAAAGAAGGGGGGAAGGCTAGGGAGACGGATAAGGAAGGAGAGGGGAAGGGAAAAAGGGAAAAAGGTTAGGTCAAAGCCCAGGTCGCTCTCAGCATGTAACCGGCGGGACGACAACACACTTGATTCAACACGTTATGTTATTGTCAAAAGTTTTATTATGGACAATAAGCATTTATGGGCGAATGTGGGGCACAGAGAAGGGAAAGACAGGGAGGAGAGGAGAGAGAGAGAGAGAAATAGAAATAAAAGCGCATAGCCGTCCTTACACAACAAACATACATAATATATATATATATATATATATATATATATATATATAAAACACACACACAACAGAGGATTTCCTTACGTGTCTATAAAAATACTTATCGTAAATAAATAAAGCGAAATAGTGGAAAAAAAAACAAAGATAATTAAAGAAAGGAAAATAAAAACATTCTTTTCTTCAAATGTACGAAGATTGACGATAACGAGAGACGAAAACATAATCAACTTTGTGAATTAATAAGTGAATGAAAATAGTGATAAAATAAGTACCTACTAGTGCTGCTAATGTAATTAAAATTATTTTAGGACTCTTACTAGTGGTGGTGATGATGATGATGATGATGATGATGATGATGATTATGAGGAGGATAATAATGATAATGATGATGATGATGATGACGATGATGATGGTGGTGGTGATGATGATGATGAAGGTGATGATTATGAGGATAATAATGATGATGACGATGATGGTGGTGATGATGAAGTTGATGATGATGATGATGATGATGATGATGATGATGATGATGACGATGACGACGACAAGGAAGATGATAACGATGACAACAAAAAGAAACATGACAAACAACAACAATATTCACCAACGCTTCAATACAAGAACTCTTCTTCCTCCTCCTCCTCCTCCCCCTCCTCTCCCCCTCCTCCCCCCTCCCCATCCCCCTCCCCTCCCCCTCCCCCTCCCCACCCCCACACCCCCCTTACCCACCATTTCCAACCAGGCCAAATGGCCTTTAGTGTGGACACGAGAGATAAAAGTTGACCACCATTCACCTGTTGGCCGGGAGATCGCCACAGGAAAAAAAGGAAGGAAGGGAAGGAAGGGAAGGGAAGGGAAGGGAAGGAGGGAGGGAAGGGAAGGGAAGGGAAGGGAGGGAGGGAGGAGGGAGGAGGAAGGGCATGAGGGAGGAGGGAGGGAGGAGGAAGGGCATGAGGGAGGAGGGAGGGAGGGAGAGTGGGAAAGAGGGGAGGGAAGAGGAAGGGAGGGAGGAGGAAGGCATGGAGGAGGGAGGAGAGGAGGAAGGGCATGAGGAGGAGGGAGGGAGGTGGGAGGGAGGAGGGAGAGGAGGAAGGCAGATGGAGGAGGGAGGGAGAGGAAGAGCATGAGGAAGAAGGGAAGGGATGGAGGGAGGAGGAGGAGGAGGGCATGAGAAAGGGAGGAAGGAGAGTGGGAAAGAGGGAGGGAAGATGAGAGCGGGAAATGGAAGGAGGAAGAAGGAAAGCGGAAGGAAGGAGGGAGTGAAGTGGAAAGGAAAAGAGAAGGAAGGAGGAAAGCGAGAGGGAGAAGGAGGAGTGAAGTGAGAGTGAAGGTAGCGAAAAGGAGACAAAGAAGAAGAAAAGGGAGTGAAAGCCGAGAAGAGAAACAAGGAAGGTAGCGAAAGGGAGACATCAGGTAGGGAAAGGGAGGGAGGGAAAGAGAGGGAGAGGGAGAGAGAAAGAGCTATGCAACCCTTCCTCTCGACCTCGTGTCTAAGCAAGTTCTGACACGTTGGCCGAAGGGTCCAATAAATGAGAGGGAAAAGTCAGACGATGTTAAGAGGCAAAACTGAAATACCAAATGAAGAGAAAATACGAAAAAGTAACAAAAAAAAAGGACTGAAAAAAGCAAAAAACAAAAACAAAAAAAATGAAAACAGCAAAAAGACGATGTTAAGAGGCAAACTGAAATACCAAATGAAGAGAAAATACGAAAAAGTTGAAAAAAGCAACTACAGAAACCAATGTAAAAGACAGGAAAAAAACAAAGAGAGAGAAAAAAATGACGTATAAACGGAATGAAATATATAAACTTTGGGGGAAACATTAAACTGTAGACCAATGAATTGTTTTCTTCTTTCCTATTATCATTTGTAACCGATAACTCTTTTTTTTCTCATTTATCTTACTTTTCTTGTTACCTTCAAATTTAATACACTCTTATTAATTTTTAACTTCATTATTTTTTTCTATATTCTTCTCGTCTCTCTTCTCCTTTTCTCTCTCATTCACACACTTGCCACCCACGGAATTTATCAAATTTAATAATTCTTCCTTTCTCAACTTCATTACCTCTTTCTATCTTTTTCTTGTCTCTCTTCTTCTCCTTTTCTCTCTCATTCACACATTCGCCTCCATTTTCCCCATGAATCAATTTTTCTTCTATTTCGTTTTATCTTCTCCTTCCGCTTTCACTTCATTCTTCCTTCGACACTTTACGAAGTCACTTCCCTACTCTTTTCCAGTACCGGGAATCCTTAAGGAGTACCGGTATCCTTAACACCTTCCTTCTATTACCAGTACCAGTACCGCTCACTTGTTCCTTCCTGTACCGGTAATTCCTCTGCAGTACAGGTACCTTAAACTTCTCCCCAGCGGCACCGGTAGCTCCCACCTGTTCTCCCAGGTACCGGTAAATCCCCCCCCCCCAACCAATCTGCTGCAGTACCGGTACTACAAACCTCTTCCTTTCAATACCGGTACCTTAAACCTCTCCTCACCGGTACCGGCAACCCTCACTCGTTCCTTCGCTTACCGGTAACTCCTCTCCAGTACCCACAACCCCCAAACTCACCTTTGCAGTACCCACAACCTCCAAACACCCAACACCCCGTACCCACAACCCCCACCCCACCTTTCCAGTACCAACAACCCCAACCCCCCAACTCTCCCTTTCCAGTCAACAGTACCCCAACCTCCAACCCGCCCTCTCCAGTACCCAAAACCCCCAACCTCCACCCCCCCTCCCAACCCCCTACCCCCCCCCCCCGTTCTTCCCCGGCAAACACCTGTTCCGATGAGTGTTCTCCCACCGGTGATCATGGGGTCCTTCCTGCCCCCCCCCCCCCCAGGCTTGGTCCTAAGCTCCCATGATCTTGATAGGTGATAACATCCCCAGGGGGCGCGACTGATAAGATGGGCTACTCCCTTTCCTTTTTCTTTTTTTTCTTCTTTTTTTTTTGGGGGGGGGGGGGCCTCCCTCTACTTTGTATCTCTTTCTTTTTCTGTTTCGCTTTGACTCTTTTCTTTTTCTTTCTTCACTCTTTTTTCTTTTTTATTTCCATCTTTCCTTCTCTCTCTCTCTCTCTCTCTCTCTCTCTCTCTCTCTCTCTCTCTCTCTCTCTCTCTCTCTCTCTCTCTCTCTCTCTCTCTCTTTCGCTCTCAAAAAATATATTTCGGCGAAACGGAATGCGATTAAGACCGAAGACGGAAGAAAAAGCAAAGGGGGGAAGAGATTACGGAGAAGAGAGGAATAGAGAAAAAGGCAAGAACATGGAAAGGATGTGTAAAAACATGGAAGGGAGAAGAGAGAGAAGAAAAGACAGATAAATTTGCTCGGGAAAAGATGCGAACACAACAGAAATAGATAGACAGCGATTAAAACCTTGCGCCAGTTTTTTTTCTAGTGAGGCTCTTTATATCGCTTACAATAACAACAACAAACAACAACAACAACAACAACAACAACAATAATAATAATAATAATAATAACAACAATAATAATAATAAAATAATAACAACAATAACAACAAAACATAATAATAATAATAATAATAATAATAATAATAATAATAATAATAATAAATAATAAAAACAACAACAATAATAACAATAATATAATAATAACAATAACAATAACAACAACAATAATAATAATAATAACAATAATAACAGTAATAATAATGACGGGTAATTCCAGAATCCGGACGTCTGGACTCGCCTTCGGGACCACAACCCGGCTCCGGCAAACCCAAGAGAACCCTCGAGGCAGGTAAAGTTCCGTACAAAAGTCCTTTATAGAACTGACTTCGAACTTGCCTCACCCTCTGCGAGAAGTGTGGTATTTAAGGCCGGTTTTGCCTTACCTATTCCAAAAAAAGTGTGGTATTAAGACCGAATTTGCCTTGTCCTTTAAAAAAAAAAATGGTATTTAGACCGGTTTTGCCTTACGCTATTCCAAAAGTGTGGTATTAAGACCGAATTGCCTTACCCTCTGCAAACTGTGGTATGAAGACCTAATTTGCCTTGGCCTTTTCAAAAAGTGTGGTATTAAGACCGAATTTGCCTTACCCTTTTCAAAAGTGTGGCATGAAGACCGAATCTGCCTTAACCTCTACAAACAGCGTGGTATCAACCCGGGCGTTCGGAGCGGCATCGGAGCCGCGCTCGACAAAACCTCTGACCTCGACTGTACTCACCTCCGTCTTCCTCCGTCAGGTCGATGAGCGCGTCCCGTGAGGATCTCGAGGACGCCGCCCGCGCTTCCAGGGGCGTGGGCGTGAAGGCGGGCGTGGGCATGAGAATGGGCTGGCCGTCGGGCGTGGTGGCGGGCGTGGACCAGTTCCGGCCGTGGGAGGGCTTGGGCGTGAGCGTGGGCGGGAAGCGGGGCACGGGCGCGCGCAGGGGGCCGGGGGGGCGCATGGTGTCCGGGCAGGAGCGCGTCCTCCCCCGCAGCACGGGCGTCCAGTCCTCGGGCGCCTCCTGCTTCTCCTCCTTCTCGCCCTCAGTGGCCTCCTCCCGGATGGCCTGGTGGTGGGCGGGGCGGCGGCGGGAGTGCGGGATGGCGATGGGCGGCGTCACGCCCACGCCGGCCTGCCCCGCCTGCTGGCTCCACTTGGGCTCGTCCTCGTCGCTGGAGAAGGTGAACGAGTGGGCGGACGAGGGCGAGGGCACGTAGCCCGAGTCGCGCCACGACCCCAGCGAGTGCAGCGTCACCAGGCCGCCCGTGTCCTCCGCGGGCGAGGGCGGCGAGCTCGGGAACTGCGTCAGGCGGAGGCACGGCGCCCCCGCGCCGGGCGCGGGCGCCTCCCGGGGCCCCTCGCCCGTCGCGGGGCAGGGGAGGGGGTGGGCTGGGCGGGCGCGGGCGTCGGGAGGCTTCGGGCGCGGCCGGCTGCGACAGCTGGATGGGCGAGACGATGCTGGGGAAGGTGAAGCCGGGGTGCAGGCGGTGCAGGATGCTGGGGACGAGCCCGGCCCGGAGAAGCGCCGCCCCGCTCATGCTCCACAGGCCGCTGGTGCTGATGGCGGCGAGGGCGTGCTGCTGCTGCTGCTGTTGCCGCTGCTGCTGCTGCTACTACTACTGCTGCTGCTGCCCCTGGCCTCCTCCGCACCCTCCATCTCGTAGACACTCTGGCGACAGGAAGAGCACCCACACTTAATTCCCTTCCCACTTCCGATGCACGTGGACAGGTGCAGCCTCGTCCCTCCCTCCCCCCCCTCTCTCTCTCTTTCCTTCCATATCCACAAATCCAAGAATAAAAAATCTATTATCTTTACTGGATTTAAAACCACCCTCCTCCATGAAAGCAACCCAACCTTACAGAAACTATAAATAAAAACGTAAGTAAATAAAAGTAAATAAAAAACGTTTGTTTACAACGTTTGTCCATACTTCGCGGATGTGTTTACCCACTCGACTTTAAAAACAACCGAAGGACTTTAAAAGAATTCAGTCTCTGTCCGTATCTGAAACCTTTGTTACCTGAAAAAGAAAAAAAAAACAGAAAACAAATACAAAACAAAGAGAATAAAAGAGGACTGACAATAAAGCACAGAGAAGAGACACAGCAAGAGAACAGAAGAACAACGAAAATAACGGAAACAAAAGCCGCCCTCCCAAATAAGCCGCAGGGAGGCTAGGCTGGCTGCTCGTCGACCTCACCTTCTTCCTGTAGGGTTTCGGCAGGGGGTCCACGCGGGGTCGTCGCGGCTGTTTCTGCTGCTGCTGCTGCTGGTCGTCGTGGTCGTCGTGGTCGTTCCGGGGTGAAGACAGTTCGAAGACGTCGTCATCGTCCTCGGGGGTGATGTTGTGAAGGTCGTGCTCGGGCTCCTCTGTCCATAGGTCCAGGTCGGCGCCGCTGTCTGCCTGCGCGAGGGGGGAGGGGAGGGGGAGGGGGGCAGACAGGTCGTCGTCAGTTGCTCGTCTTCAAAATGCTACACGAATAGTTTTCGCTATGCTGATGAACACGCTAAACGAATAATGAATGTGAACTTACTAGTCTAGTATCTCTTATTTAAATAATACATAAATAATACATACATACATATATATGTGTATGTGCGTGTGTGTGTGTGTGTGTGTGTGTGTGTGTGTGTGTGTGTGTGTGTGTGTGTGTGTGTGTGTGTGTGTGTGTGTGTGTGTGTGTGTGTGTGTGTGTGTGTGTGTGTGTGTGTGTGTGTGTGTGTGTGTGTGTGTGTGTGTGTGTGTGTGTGTGTGTGTGTGTGTGTGTGTGTGTGTGTGTGTGTGCATTATACATATATATACAAAACATACTTATATAGACATATATCTACATATATAGACATATACATTTATAAGCATATAAACAAACAAACAAACACACACACACACACACACACACACACACACACACACACACATATATATATATATATATATATATTATATATATATATATATAATATATATATATATATATATATATACATATATAATATATATATATATATGTGTGTGTGTGTGTGTGTGTGTGTGTGTGTGTGTGTGTAGGTATGTATGTATGTACGTATGTGTGTATGAAGCATATAAATATCTATAAACATATAGATATATACATATATAAACATACATACATACATAATTATATAAAAATACATATACCCACACATATATATACATATATACATACATATAATACACATGCATGCACATACATATACATACATAAATACATACATATACACACACGTACGTACATACATACATGTATACATAAATACATTTATACATACATATATATATTTATATATAATGCATGTGTATATATGTATGTATGTATGTATGTATGTATGTATGTATGTATGTATGTATGTATGTATGTATGTATGTATGTATGTATGTATGTATGTATGCATGCATGTATATATATATATATGCATATATACATACATACATACATGTATATTAATATATTTATATATATATATATATATATATATATATATATATATATATATATATATATATATATGTAAATGTACATGTGTATGTATGTCTGTATGATTATTTATATATATAAATTGACTGACTGACTGACATTGACTGACTCACTGACATTGACTGACTGACAGACACTGATTAACTGACAGATACTGACTGACTGACAGACACTGACTGACTAACAGACCCTGACTGACTGACAGACACTGACTGACTGACGACCTGACTGACTGACTGACTGACTGACTGACTGACTGACTGACTGACTGACTGACTGACTGACTGACTGACTGACTGACTGACTGACTGACTGACTGACTGACTGTGTGTGCTTGAGTGTGTGTGTGCTTGGGAGTGTGTGTTTGGTATGTGCTTGTGTGAGTGTTTGTGTAAGTGTGTAATTATGTGATTGCGTGTGTGTAATTCTGTAAGTGTGTGCCTGTGTGTGCTTGCGTGAGTGTGCTTATTTGAGTGTGTGTGAGTGTGTGCTTGTTTGAGTGTGTTCCATGTGAGCCTGTGCTCG